CATTTTTGTCTGGAGAGAACCAAGAGTTAATTTACCACGACATCGAGTTTAATATCTGAAGAGCTAATCATTATATTGCATTTACGATGGACTCAATATACATGTTTGTGTGTCTGCGAGATGTAAAACTTGTTAAACTCTCTGGCACAAAAAAATGTTTTTGCTAAAAAATTATGTCTGATTTTCTTTATATTTGGTTTAAATAATTTTAACATCACACTGAACAATATTAACTGAACAAATCTGAGATATTTAGGACTTTCCACTAATAACACCCATTATTACGATGTCATAATATTACACACAATATGTGAAACTGATATTTTGATTAAAAAAAACATGTAGCTATAAAATCTGACAACAACAATGTAAATTCATGAAAGAAAACATTGCACATGGACTAGTTTTTAAAACCATTGACAATATTAATATAGTTTAAATACAACTATTATAGTTATTAACAGAAATGACAGAATTCAAGCTTTTAATCTGCAACTAACATGTTTACAGAGATAAACAGCTGAGCTTTAGTAGCATGTTTTATTTCTTAACACTAATAAACACTTGCTTGTTTAAATGTGAGCTTCCCCTAAATAAATAAAGGCAGAGGTGTGTCTCTACATGCAGCTGGATGTGCTGCTGAGCTCTGCAGATGCTCTTCTTCCACAGGAGACTGGATTCCCGCATGCATAACAGCACACATGCAGTCATTCCCCCTGAGGGATCAGGCGCAGATCTGCATTCATTCACGCATTATGTGCGTGTGCCCGTCTCCAAATCCCGCACGCGCCCGCGATTGCGCGCGAAAAACAGGCGAAAAAACGACGCGTTTGAGCACTAACCTTGCGTTAAACCCGTCCTCCTCTCCGAAGAGCCGCTGATGCGGGAAATTCCTCCAAAGCTTTATATTTTCGCATCAACTTGGCGTGCATTGTTTGCGTTCTGCTGCCGTGACCGCGCAGAGACTGGCGGCGCGCGTGACCGCTGAGCGCGTGATCTGAATCGCGTCTCTGATTGGCTGCCGGCTGCAGTAGAGCTCTACAGCTCACGCGGGCACCCGCACATCAGACTGCGTAGCACGAGCTTTGTGCTCAAAAACGCGTCTTTCCTCGAATTAACGGCAGATAAACTGACCATACCGCACTGTAGAGCTCACAGTCCGTGCAGAATACAGATTAGTGTAGTCAGTGCAGGAATCTGCAGAGCTTTCAGTTAATAATGTGTGTTCTGCAGGATGCCATGAGCCAAGATGGCGTCCATGTGTGTTTGCAGAAAAACAGGCAGGATCAAACCTGTTATAGTGCGCAGCTGATGAAGTGTCCGCTTGTGTTGTGTTCACACATCTTACTGAATAATCTGCCGTGGTCTGATGATGATGATGATGATGATTTATGTTTCTGTTGAAGCCTTGATAGAAGTCTAAAAGTAAGTTTGTCAGCCACGCCCAAATAGCTGAGCCAAATGCTGAGTTGCAGACGAGACACTGGTATGAGCTGAAAGACAACTGACTTACAGAAACAAATGATGAATAACCGAGACCTGCATGATTATAACACTTATTAAAATGATTAAAACATGCAAAAAAAAAAAAAAACCTTCAGTTAGTTAAAGGGACAGTTCCTGTCAAAATGAACATGTAGCCTCCTCATTTACGCTCCCTCATGCTGTTTCAATCAGTTTCTTTCTCCTGTTGAACACAAAAGAAGATGCTTTGAAAAATGTGGACACCGGTAGCCATTGGCATCTATAGAGGGGGAAATACTATTGAACTTAATGGGTACCAGTTTCCAATATTCTTTAAAAAGTCTTCTTTTGTGTTTAGCAGAGCAAAATGATCAAAAACTCGCTGGAGGATGAGTACATGAGCACTGAATTGTCGTTTTGGGATGAGCTGTATGTAAATGCCTGCTTTAGCCATGCAGCCTGAAAGCCAGTGTAAATGATGCCGCTCTGACCCTTCTCAGTCCTCGCTTACACTGTGTAATTACATATTAATTAGTGTGTAAATGATAGCAGTGGGACAATTCACAGAGTCGGTTCAGTTCTTATCTGTGGTCACGCTTTCAGTTTGATTTGGTTTACACTGTAAAAAATATGCAACACTTAAATACCGATTTAGAAATACATCATAGCTTTATAATGTACCGTTTGCAGTATTTAAAAAAGGGTTATTCTTAATGCATTAATTTCAGTCTTAGGGGCTTAATTTATTCTTGTGTTGTTGATTAATAGTAATGATGAAAGTGGCTTAATTATGGCTAAATTGCGTTTGAAGATTATTAAAACACACACACACACACACACACACACACACACACACACACACACACACACACAGTACTTTTCAGTGGATTAACCTTTTTACTTTTTTAAATGATTGAATTGTTCTCTTAATGAAATAGAAAGTGTGCTCTAGCAAAAATGTGATTTTTGACTTCCCAGATACTTTAAAAAAAGCATTAATCTCTTTATTAATGCCAAAAGGTTTCAGTAAGTGGATATTTTGAGGTAAATGACAGGTTCATTATTATTTCAGAAATATATATATATATATTATTAAAAGAAAATACTGAAGTAATCAGTTTTTACAGTATTGTACTGTATATTGTTAGTTTGTACTAATGAATGCTGTACTGCTGCATGAACATTTCTAATGTTGTTGTTTTTTCTATATTATTTAATGAATTATGTTTATATGTATTTAATTATATTCATATTACTGTCTTATACTACTTACACATTATTCAATTATTTTTCTTTACCTGTTTTTGTGTCCACATCCATATATGTTCATTTTCAGTCATTTGGCATGCTATATTTTAGATGTCTGTGAGTTTTTACTATGTTCTTCCAGAGAGCTGTAATTGTCACAGTGCTGATCGGCTGATTTTCCTCAAAGGGTGTGAGAACAGCAGAGTGTGTGTCTGTAGATTTATCAGTTGTGCTCCACGGGTCATGTTTACTCGACCTCGCCGTGTACATTACTGATGTATAGATTAGTTTGATCAGCGTAAACATCTGCTGCTGATAGAGGAAGATGTCGGTTCTCCTGCGTGTAGAACTCTGCTCTTCATCTCCTTCTTCACTTGCCTTTCAGCACATACACTGCCAACGACTTTTCATTTCTAGAATCTTTTTAAACTCAAATACTCATTATCTTAAAATATGTTCATTATTTTGGGTTATAGATAAACTAACATGTCATTCATACAGCATTTCTTATTTCAGAGCAGTGAGTCACTGTGTGCAGTCATAAATACTGTAGAGTCAGCATGCTCACACTATATCTGCTTGTAGAGTTTATTCTATAACAACAACAACAACATGCATTATTCCACTGAATACATACAAACAGATATGATTTACTTAAACAAGGCTTCCACAGGTGGCTATCAAAATCCTTGTGGACGGGAAGTTGCAGAGACTTTTATTTTCCGCCATGTTGGTACAGGGCTCCCAGGACAAGTGTCATTCAACTGCACTAGTCAAGACTAAAGCCAGTGTGTGGATGCTGGACTTTAGCTCTGTGTACTGGTGTAGATATGAACAAACAAAGAAAATAAAGCATAAAGGAAGAACACTTCAGAGGGAAGATTTCAGGGCATGTTTCAGGACATGGATTAGACCAAATTTAACAGGGAGGGAGGATAATACATCTCCACACACACAAACACACTCTTCATCAGCAATGCCCGCGCGCTCACTCATGCATCCATGTAGAAAAGTGATGTAGAATTATATTTTTTTGTGATTTAAATTAAATATTTGCATACTGATAAGCTGGAAACTCCTGATCATAGATATGTGTGTGTGTGTGTGTATATCTCTGGCTCTGGATGGCCAGTCCTCCACTGCACCTTGCTCCCGCATTTGTTTTAAAGAAGCTAGCCTGTACCAAGATGGCGGCTCTATTGACGCAGTCCTTCCAATAGACATCAACAGCGTAGGCGATAACTAATGTAAAAATCAATGATGTTGATGTATTTCCAACTGAAACAGAATATTAATTAGGGGCGGGGCTTTCATGTTTCAAATCTTTCCCTCGTTAGTAAAATAACGATACCAGGTGTTGATTATTTAATTACTTTAATAAAACAGTTGATTTGAATGAATGCATGGTTTTTGGGTTATGATACACTCGATAATGCTTTGTTATTAATCCTGGTGATGTTTCACACACTTCAGGCCAAAAGTACTCCCAAAGTGATCCAAAAATATTCCTTGACCTTAATTTCAGGAAATAAGAAGGCTTAAACACCTCTAATAGTGAAAAATATCTGTACAATTGAATTATTCAAATATGGCTGATTCATTCATTCATTCTCCTTTAGCTTAGTCCCTTTATTCATCAGGGGTCACCACAGCGGAATGAACCGCCAACTATTCCAGCATACATATCCAGCTGCAACCCAGTACTAGTACACTCATTCACACACACACACACACACACACACTAGGGGCAGTGTAGTTGATCAGTTCCCCTATAGCGCATGTGTTTGGACTGAGAGAAACCGGAGCACCCGGAGGAAACCCACACCAACACGGGGAGAACATGCAAACTCCACACAGAAACACCAACTGACCCAGCCGAGACTCAAACCAGAGACCTTCTTGCTGTGAGGCCACAGTGCTGCCTATGATGGATTCCCCTGTCTATATTTATACTGTATTATATTGTTGTGTAGGCTAGTCTGTCACCCTTGATCGTCCGTTTATGTGTTAAATATAATATTTAAATATTTATATTATTTAAATAATATTTAATATTTAAATTATATTTAATATTTAAATTTAGTTTATTAAATATAGATGTCACGTGTTTACATGCTCAAGCTCTGGACTCAGCACTCGGTTACTGAAAGCTTCATCACAAACTCCATCATCCTGTGCGTTCTGCCGTGCGTCGTCACTTCCGGTCGGGCGTGTGTGCGCAGGTCTGATTGCGCCCGAACGCTCTTTACTATATATGGGCAAAGCCGAGCCGTCCGCGCGCCGCCGCCACTTCCGCGTTCGGGGAGCAGCGATCAGCCGGTGACAGAAGCGCAGATCCGGTCCAGTTCAGCTCCGTTCAGCAGTTATTCATTCATTCAGTCCGCCGTTTACCGGAGGAGAACACGCAGACATGTCCTACGAGCTCAGTGAGTGCACAACCAGTGTGTGAGGGAAATCTGTACACATGTAGAATGTGTGTGTCGTTACTGAACTCGTTTCATTGTGATGACAGCGAAGCTCGTGTATGTATGTGTGTGTGTGTGTGTGTGTGTGTGTGTGTGTGTGTGATCTGTATGCACAAACGCAAAGAATGTTTGTGTGTGTGTGTGTGTGTAAGAAAGAGTATCGTTACCGTGATCGTTTCATAGTGATCACAGCAAAGCTCTTGTATTTACCTGTTGTGTGTGTGTGTGTGTGTGTGTGTGTGTGTGTGTGTGTGTGTGTGTGTGTGTGTGTGTGTGTGTGTGTGTGTGTGTGTGTGAATCCATTTGCCATGTTTTTCCGGGATCCTCCAGGTCAGGAAACCCCGTGATAACGCCGTTATTGACCTGCAGAATCGCGGGATTGTAGTTCATTATGTTTAGTGAGTGTTTCCGCGGAGTAAAGCGTGTCGTGTTTTAGTTTGAGTGTTATTATTAGGATTGTGTGTGTGTGTGTGTGTGTGTGATTTCTCTGACTCTGATCGTGTTTGAGCATCAGGAACAGTCTGACAGTGGATCAGCCTATGGCGTGTGATTAGGGGCGGGACTTTGTTTCTCATTGGCCAATGGGCGGGCAGGGTGTGGAGACGGTTATGTTGGCTGTGGGGCGGGATGTAATGAACATTATTATTAATATAATAATTCAGATTTTCTCATTAATAAAACAGTAAAGCGCTATTATTATATAACAAAGAGCATTGAGAGTGTTTCTATATGTCTATGATTGTCTAGGGCTGGATAAAGACCTGTAATCTTGTGTTTCCTCCGCCTCAGGTTCTTCAGTGCCTCCTGCATGCAGTGACCTGTTCATATTCCAGATTTATTTATAGTTATATTTTCACACTACTGTACCACATACACAGGGGTTCAGCACCAGCTGCTAGTGAAATAATATTTTAGACCCCTAATAATAATAATAATTATAATAATAATAATAATATAAATTTTCCTCTG